CGGCTGCAACCAAAAAATAGCTGGGCGTTGTGGCGGACACCTGTGGTCCTAGCTACTTGGGGAGGCGGAGGCAGGAGAATCGCTTGAGCCCAGGAGTTGGAGGTTGCTGTGAGCTGTAATGCCACGGCACTCTACCCAGGGGGACAGCTTGAAGTCTCAAAAAAAAAAAAAAAACCTTTTATAAAATATTTTGCTTTTTTTCCCCCCCTTTCATATATTTCAATCCTGATGGTTTATTCTATTTGCCCCTCATCTCCTCTTTGGAGTATTTTAGATACAAAGAAGGAATAGAACAATGACTTTTATTTTTTTAGTATGATATTTTGCATTTTAGTGTTTTGGTTTTTTACTACTGAATCAGCCTGTTGGTTTCATTTTGCCTTCTGCTTAGACCTGCTTCTTCCCCCAAAAAGTCCTTTGCATTTTATGTATTTGCCCTTCTCAAAATCTGGTCTTGGAGGTGTCGCCTTTTCCCATCTTGTGTGGTTTTCCCAATTTTTTCTTCTGAGCCCCAACTCAGCGGAAATCTGCCTGGGCCAGCTCTAAGTTAGAGAGGTGATGGCACTTCGGTGAGGTGGAGTGAGGTGGACCTCCTAAGCTCGTGGCCGCTTTGGCCCTGACTGCTGACTGTGATCCTACATGAGACCTTTCTAGTCTTAGGCCCAGGTGGTCCTGATTTGGATGATTTCCGCTTTGAGACAACGTCTTGTGATCGAATATATAATAAACATGTTAAAACATACTTATAAAACCCATAGTTCCTGTCTCCTGTAGTGAAATATCAGGCAGTGCATTTTACACATAGTCGTCACGAAAGCTGTGGTGCCCTGGGTATCAGACACCTGGGTACATTTATTTTATTTTACATCTTAACTGAGATATAGATCATCTATCATACATTTCACCCAGGTAAAGTTTATAGTTCAGTGAGTTTTAGTTTCTTTTTTGTTGTAAAGTAATGGTTCATTGTATCATGTTTTATCTATCCCTTCCTCAATTGATAGACATTTGGGTTGTTTCCACTTTTTGATTTTTATGAATAATGCTGCTATAAATATTCTAGTACAACTTTTTGTTTGGATGTTTTTATGTTTCTTGATAGACACTTAGGAGTGGAGTTGCTGGGTCATGTGTTAACTCCATATTTAACAGTTGGAGGAACTGCTTTTTTAAACCATTTTTCAAAGTGGGCTGCACCATTATACATTCCCACCTGTAACGTATGAGGGTTCCAGTTTCTCTGCATCCTTGCATTTGTTACTTCTGTCTTTTTCAGTAAAGCCACCCTAATAGGTATGAAATCTCATGAGTTTCATAGTTTTAGTTCTTACATTTAAGTTTATGATCTATTTTGAGTTAATATTTGTGTACAGTGAAGGGAGGAGATCCAAGTTTAGTCTTTTGCAGTATTTGTTGAAAAGATTGTTCTTTTCCCCCATTGAATTGTCTTGCCATGATTGTCAGAATTCACTTGACCGTGAATGTAAGGGTTTATTTCTGTACTCAGTTCTGTTCTACTGATCTATATCTCTCTCCTAAGAATAGTACCACACTGTATTGATCACTACAGCTTTTTGGTAAGTTTTAAATCAAAAAGTGTGAGTCTTTCAAAATTAGATCGTCTTCAAAATGGTTTTGGCTATTCTATGTTACATTCATTTTTATATGAATACTAGGATAGGCTTGTCAATTTTTGCAAAAAGGGCAGCTAGCAGGCATAATTACAGGGATTGTATTCAATCTGTAGATCAGTTTTAGGGGTATTGCAGTTTTAGTTGTGAGCTACCGCACCCAGTCTTTAAGGTGGGGTCTTACTGTGTTGCCTAGGCTGGTTTCAAACACCTGTGCTTAAGCTGTTATCCTGCTTCAGTCTCCAGAGTAGCTGGGGTTATAGGCACATGTTACCATGTCCAGCAGCTTTTTTTTTTTGTACAAAAGGTTTTTATTGGCTGGGGTGGGGGTGGGGTGGAAGGGGTGCTGCAGAGCAGCACCAAGGAGGAGAGAAAAGAGAAGAGAAAAGAAAGAGAGGAGAGGGAGGAGAGAGGGCCAGCAGCTTTTTTAACAGTGGTATTTACACCTATCCTTTATCTTTAAGTTTGCTTTAATTGTATCCCATAGGTCTTTGTATGTTGTGTTTTCCTTTTCATCGATCTCAGGGTATTTTCTGTTGTCCCTTGTGATGTCTTCTTTGACCCATTGGTTATTTAGAAGCGTGGTGTTCGGCTCGGTGCCTGTGGCTCAGGTGGCTAAGGCGCCAGCCACATACACCTAAGGTGGCAGGTTTGAATCCAGCCGGGACCCGCCAAACAACAATGATGGCTGCAACCAAAAAATAGCCAGGCGTTGTGGCAGGCGCCTGTGGTCCCAGCTACTTGGGAGGTGGAGGCAAGAGACTCGCTTGAGCCCAGGAGTTAGAGGTTGCTGTGAGCTGTGATGCCAGGGCTCTCTACCTAGGGGGACAGCTTGAGGCTCTGTCTCCAAAAAAAAAAAAAAGAAGCGTGTTGTTCAATCTTCATAGATTTGTGACTCCCCAAATTTCTTCCTTTTTTTGAGCCAGAGTGTTACTTTATCACCCTTAGTAGAGTGTAATGGAGTCACAGCTCATAGCAACCTCAAACTCTTGGGCTCAGGCGAGTCTCTTGCCTCAGCCTCCCATACAGCTGGGACTACAGGCACTCACCACAGTGCTCAGCTATTTTTAGAGAGAGGGTCTTGCTCTTACTCAGGCTGATCTCGAACCTGTGAGCTCAGGCAATCCACCCGCCTCAGCCTCCCAGAGTGCTGGGATTCCAGGCAGGAGCCACCACACCCAGCCTGTTCCTGTTAATGATTTCTAATTTCATTACATTGTAGACATTTTGGGTCTTGTAAATTTATTGGGGCTTGTTCTATTGCCCAGCATCTTTCTGTCCTGGGGAATGTTTTAGGTTATTATATTCTGCTGTTGTTGGGTGGAGTGTTCTACTGATATGCTGTTAGGTCTGCTTGGTTTATAGCATCGTTCAAATCTTCTATTTCCTTGTTGATCTCCATTTTATTTTTATGTGTGCTGCTTTGTAAAGATCG